GGGGAGGGGGGGGGGTTGAAAGTGGGGATAATAACGAATTGCCACGCCTTCGTGAGAAGCAAATTATTGATATCGAATTAAAGTTAATTCCCGTAGATTGGTTTTCGGCTCGGTCGTGCGTACATTTCACTTGGCGAATTATCGATTTGCGAATAGCTTCTCTCTCTCTCTCTTTCTCTCTCTCTTTCTCTCTTTCTCTCTTTCTCTCCCTTTTACTCACTTACTCATTTAAAGTTAGTTGTAAGCACACAGAGACAGTACTTTCCTTCTTGCTTGCCATCGACGTTTATTTTTTGTTCCTTTCTTCCCAAATACACTCTCATAGATACACATGTATCACGTGTATACATGTACACTCACACAAATGTATATACATCTCTCATAGATATAAATACATACATAGATACACGTAAACGTGTTCGTAGATATATTCTTATACGTTTCTAATATGCATATTTATAAATCTATATACTCAAACACTTATACAAATATCTATTATGCGTACACATTTATAGGACAATACATTTAAATCTATACACACAAAACTTATATATAGATATATATATATATATATAAATGTATGCATGTAAGTAGGAATATTTATATAGAATGAGTAATTCAAGTATATTATCTTATATATAAGGACAAACACATACGTATGATTGAACACACATAATAAACTCATACATTTAAATATATAATATAAGTATATGTTATACTTGTAATTATATAAAAATTCACGTATATATATTTATTTATATAAAATTTTTTATTTTTATTTATATATTTATTTATTTTTATTTATTATATTTTTTTATATTCTATAATATTTGTTATATTTATATATTATATATATATATATATAATATATAATAATTATAAAAAATACTATAAAATATAAAAAATATAATATAATAAATCCACGCACAAGAACTTATATAAAAATATACTTGTAATGTCATACATATGCAAATACACATTGAGCCACGCATACAAACTTATATAAAATAAAATTTATATATTTGCTTTAACATATAACAAAAAAAAATACAACAAATATTATAAAATATAAAAAATAAAATATAATATAATAAATCTACAAACAAGAATTTATATATAAGTATATTTGTGTAATCCCTTATATATATACCCACATATATAAATCCACGCATATAAGAACTTACATATTATACTTGTAAGCCCTTATATATATGTACACATATATATAAACCTACTCAGAAGAACTTATATATACAATTATAGTTGTAATGGCTTACATATGCATATACATATAAATCCATGCATATAAACTTATATAAAAGCATATATATATATATATATGTATATACACAAATCTATATTCACATCTCTCTCTCTCTCTCTCTTTCTCTTTCTATCGTAGTCAACTACGCTCGAAGCAATTTGAAGGAAGAGATGCCAGCGTCAAAGGCTCGTAGAACTTTAAACGACTTCGAACCTCTCCAACCTTTTCCCCGTTAGGTCGAAGCCATCGTCTTCGTCGTTGTCGTTGTCGTTGTCGTTCACGTTCACGTTTTCTCTTTTCTTCTCTTTACCCTTCCTCAATCCCTTTTCCCTCTTCTTCTCCTCCTCCTCCTCCTTTTCTTCTTCTTCTTCTTCTTCTTCTTTTTCCTCTTCTTACCCTGTTTGTAACAGCACAGTTTGCAAAGTCGAGATGGTCGGCGATAAAAGTTTACGTCGTTTAGCGACGCGTTCATTTTTAGCCGAATGAAAGTAGGAGTTAAGGGTAGAAAAAAAATGTAGGAAAAAAAAAAAAAAAGAAAGAAAGAAAGGGATCCTTACTGAACACAAGCTTTTAAAAACCATTGCCCGTTTCATGTTCTTACACCATGGAAAAGTGAAGTTTGGATAGAACGATCGTGCTTAGACTATACACATACAAACATACGCGTTTACCAAAGGAATATCGCAACTTTAAGGGGGGGGGGAGGAAAAAAAACCTGTTAGGAATAAAAACAAAAAACGTCTATACGTTTAAAACGTGAAAACGATAGTAACGATAATTGCCTATTACTATATAGCTAGCTAGGTAGCTATAGTAGTATTTGCTTACTTTCTTAGTATTATTCTCCATTTTCATGCTAACGACGAGTTTTACAATCGTCCTTGAGGTTCGACCCCCCCATTGAATTCTGATTTTTTCCTTTTAACTTTTTTTATTTTTTTATAGGGATTTTTCAATTTATTTTTTGTTGTCCCTTCTCCTTGTGTAAGGAGAAGACTCCCTTCTTCTTTTCCAAACCAATCTTCGTTCATAGAAAATTTTTTTTGTCTTTATCAGATCTTACTGTACTTTAACTGTAAGTTTAATTTACTCATTTAATAATTACAAATTATAAATGTACAAACCTAACCTATAATTCATCGTTTGAATCATTCGCGCGCAATCACGTGACTACACGAGTTCCTGTCCTGTCCCAGCAATGTACATGGCGCGTCCCTCCTATAGGGTCTCTAGTTACAACCATTACGAGAATACGCGACTTTACAGTTACTAGATAAGGTTCCAAAATTGAACTTTGGAAGCAGGAGTTACAAAACATATATAATTTTCAAAACTTTTCTATCTCGTTGAAGAGATATTTTATTTCGGTTTTTTTCTCGGTTTTTTCGAAATTATCTCGATAATATCTATTATCATTATTATTTTCGTTCGTTAAAAATCATACGTAAGAGAGAGAGAGAGAGAGAGAGAAAGAAAGAGAATAATAAGGAATCCTTAAAAATGTCATTATCTGTCTACTTTCACGTTTATCTCTGTCATAAAAGTATAGTTACCACGAGGGGCCTCGAATAACGTAATCGTAAAAAAGAAAAGAAACGAAATGAAAAGAAAAGTAAAATAAAGTAAAGTAAAGTAAAGTAAAGTAAAGTAAAGTAAAGAAATGGAAGATAGAAAAAGGAAGGACACACGAAGGAAGGATCTCTCTTTAAAAAGGAACTTCAGCTTTTTATTATACTTTTTAATAAAAAAAAAAAAAAAAAAAAACCCTCTACTTAATCCGACATAGTGTGAAATAAAGAAAGAAAAGAAAGTAAAAAAAAAAAGAAAAAAAAGATGTATGTTAGCACCATTTTCAAAATTTCTTTTTTTTTCCTAGTTTCTAGCTAGCTTGACAACCGGACGACACGTGACCTCGTAATAATAACGATAAAGGATTTTTATTCTCTCTCTCTCTCTTTTTTTCTTTTTTTTTTTTTTTAAATACATATATGCACGATCATCGTTCGTTTCTTTTCATCACGAGAGGTGTCGACTAATATGAAAAATATAAAAAAAAAAGAAAGAAAATTAAAATAAAATAAACGACATACTTGTCTCTTGAGAGAAATATAAAATGAAAAAAATGAGAGTGAGAAAGAATAAAGAAGAAAAAGTAAGAGAGACAGACAGTCAAAAAAAAAAAAAAAATAATAAAATAAAAGAAAAGAATGAATGATAAAGTTAGATAACAGTGTTCTTGTATTTAACAAAATTAATTTATATCTCGTAAATTATTGACATTTCGATGAAACTTCACTGAATACTATTTAACGCAGAATAAAAAAAAAGGAATCGAATAGTGTAAAAAAAAATTATAAAGTTCCATTTAAAAAAGAAAGTGCAAGTGCATCTAGCGGTTGCATCGATACATTTTCAAAAAAAGTAAGGTCATAGAAAGTTGTCATTTGTTGTTGTGCCATACAATTTTTTCCTTTATGATTTTTTTCTATTGTTATTTAAAAAAACAGTTATTACTCGCCTCCGTTTAAAGAATCACCCTGTATATATAATTAACTAGGGATGCCCCGCTAGGCGTTGCTGTGGTTCACAATCAGTCCGATACACACGTCTTTAAATCAACGAATTACCTTATACCGCCATCTGTTAGAATGATATAAACTATCCTATCTTTCAAGTTGGATAAAACTGCACACAGTATGCAAAACTTGATTCAAATCGGTTCAGTAGTTTAGAAGTCCATTGCGGACAAACAACGTGACACGTGATTGGTACAATTAGAATAATTTAAAAATAGTGCATGGAAAAAAATATGTTAAAAATAAAAAAGAAATTGAAAATTTGAGTATGTTTGCCTGTGTGCATGTATATGTGAAAGAGAAAGATAAAGATAAAGAGAAAAGAGGTAGAGTGTCGTTTAAAAAAATCGCGTTAATTATGTGCCAACACCTGACAACTATTACGACCTTGGAGGTAAACGCGTCTGCAGAAAATTCATCCTCCTCCTCCTCCTCCTTCTCTTCGTCGTTGTAATCGTCGTCGTCGTCATCGTCATAGCTTTCGTCAGGAAATTCTGGGGTTATTAACGGAATGAATATTAACAGAGTTGCCGACACATAAGAGAAAAGAGAGGGTTGAAGCATATAGTTAAGAATAAAGAGAGGGGTTTGCGTATACCAACCTTCTCTAACATAAGCTTTACTTATAATGCGCATGCGAAATTCTCTCATACGTGTCTTCATTTTACCTTTGAATATTTCCTACACACATATATGTATATATATATATACGTATATGATGAGTATATGTTTCAAACACGTTTCAAATTAGTATTACTTCATTATGATTAATGTAATTTTGTTCTAGCACTTATATAACGTACTTATGAAATTGTTATTATGTGTGTGTGTGTGTTCTTTTTTTTCTTCTTTTTCATTTGTATTCAGTTTCGATGTGATGCATAAACGTTGAAATCTTTTAATATGTTAAGTAAGATTGTTTATATATTGCACGACAGGTGTAACAAACTACTTTGTAAAATTTCAGATTTTCAAGTTTCTTTACTACTCACAAGTGAAAACATTATGTGTAATATATTATATATATTTAAAATTCATATAATAAAAAAAAAAAAACCAAATATATTATAAATAATAAATTAATATAATAAATATAATATGATAATATAATTAAGGGTTGACGCGATTGAACGAAGATGGCAATTCCTTTGTGTTTACAGAATCTGTGGTATGCGTAAACCAAAGGACGACGAGGGTAGTAGAGGCGTAAAGCATGGAACAGTAGCTCTAGTTCTCGGTATTACCTTTGGTTCAAAGGGTGTCGGAGAGGGTCTACTCGCTTTGGAGCGTATCGAGGGCCGAACAACCGGCCGGTGAGCACCGCAACGGGGGGTGCAACCCCGTTGCCTCGGTCAACGTCTACAAACCACCCTCGAGTCTGTTACCGTCGACGAACAACAGAACAGGTTTGTTGCTCAATTATTCTTACGTTCATTTTCTTTCATATTTTTTTCTTTTCTTCTTCGACGATAGAAATGGGGGTGGTGGGGGGGGGATGTTTCTTGCTCTTCTTTTTTTCTTCTTCTTATTATTGTTTTTTGATAGAACAAATTTTATTCTACTTTTGAATAAGAATTTTTGTTTTGTTTTTGTTTTATTTAGAAATGTACGAAATCAAATTATGAAAATTTTGTCTTTGTTAATTCTTTTTATTTTTATATTAATATAAATATAAATTAGAAATCTTGATTATTTAATTATCAACACGCGTTATGTTTATAAAATATTCTGAGAAGTAATTACGTTTTATGTTTCATTTAATTATCTTTTCAAAAAATTGTCTATACACAATCGTAATATCATAAACCGTAAATTATGGTTTAATAATAATAATTGGAATATTATTTATTGTTTATCTCTCCAATGGTCATATAATATAACATAATATAATATAATATGTAATAGTTTACATTACGAATATTGCAGTATAATGTGTTGAAATCTGTTAGTAAAACAAGTAGGAGTAAATGGGCCGTGGTTTGGGATAGAGTGAATTTCGTGGCTCATTGTACCATGGAACGTTTGCCGGTGGTACAAACCGCAATTGCGGCAGTTTCTTGCGGTATTACACATAGTTCTGACCTTCAACGGGAGCATCAGCAGGTTGCATGCATGTCATGAGAACGACAAAGGGTATGTGAGAAAGTAGAAATAGAAAGAGAAAGAGAAACAGACAGAGAGAGAAAGAGAGAGAGAGAGAGAGAGAGTAAAAAAAGAAAATGTAAGGAAAGATAAGTATTAAAGTAACTAACAAACAAAGTTTCTAATTCTAAAGAACAGATTTCGTTATATATATATATAATCAAGTCTTATTTCAAATGCAATATTATATTCCCTTGTCCTAGTTATTATAGCTCAACCATTTTTAAAACTTTGATCAAATTTTTTTAGTCCTCTTTTTTTTTCTTTCTTTTTGAAACAAAATAATTGTCCCAATTTTTGTTTCGTCTTTAAAAATATTATAATCGGTATATTTTATATTAGGTCGAGTCATAAATAACTTCCGTTTTTTATGAGACAAATACCACCTTTCATGGGTTTTGTTTTTGCACTCTTTGCTATTGTATGTTAATAAGACGTAAATTAATTTTTCAAAGTGTTAACAATATAATAGTAATAATTTTATAAAAAAAAACAACCCTATAATTATCCTACACCTGATATTCTGCATTCGCCTCATTCTCTCGAAACTTAGTTTTTCGAAGGTTTCACTTTTAACACGTGTGATCTGCCCACATGATATTTTTTTTTTTCTTTATTATATCATTCTTTTAATTTTTATACCGGGTGAGTCCCTTAGAAAGCTCTCATAGCGAATTGATATTTAATTTGATTATCCTGATGAAAAGAAGCAATCTGAAAGAAACAACTATCTTTATCTTTCTCTCTCTCTCTTTTTCTCTCACACACTCACACACTCACACACACACACACACACTCACTTTATTATCCTATCTTTCTCTATTTCATTCATTCTCGTTCATTCGTAACAGAAGCACCAATCCATTTGCATTTATAATGTTACCTACCGGAACTATCCCTAGGGGAGATATAAACATTACATAACAAATCCTATATCACATACATACATACACTCACACACACAGACAGAGTGGTGATTCGTGATCGGTAATTACGTTGTATTAAAAGCTCGACTCGTTAAACCTTTTTTTCCTCTGTGTTCTCAAGTTAAAAGCTTTCGATTCATCCTAATTGTTAGTTTAATCTTTGATTTCAATTAATACGGTATATCGTTAATAAATTAAAATTATTGCTCTTTTTTTTTTGTTTATTGTATAATTAGTTAGATAAATATTTAAATTCTTATATTATGTTGAAAAATTTTCTTATGATAAATTTGTTTTTTTTTTAAACAAACAATTAACAATAATTGGATGTATATTTTAATGAAAACAAATGCCTCAAATTACTTCATTACTTTCTATCCGATTAAAACGAAATTTATTTATTTGTTTAAATAAAAGATAAATAAAAAAGAAGGAAAGGAATGATATATTTTTCTTTTTTTTTTATACATTTATTTCTACGATATTTCATAAACTATTATTATTATTATTATTATAAAAATATCTAAACACTTCGAAAATTTCTCAACACGTCGATATTCGTCGCGTGAAAACGGGACGTTGAAAATGGAGTGATATTGGAGAAAAAATTGATGATGAAAGAGATTGAGGAGGGGGTGGTTACGGATTGGGGGGGGGGTAGAGGGTAAGAAGGAAGAAGGAAAAGATGAGGAGTAGTAAGGGTAGGATTGGTTGTGCTAGAGAAAGGAGGGGGTGGGAGGGGGTGGTAGGAAAGAAGGGAAAATAATCTCTCGCGATTGCAGTCTTTTTTTCTGATAATGTTCGTCGATTTTCCACACTTGTTTCGAAGAATATAAGAAGCCGAGGGCAACTGTTGTTGTTGTTGTTGTTGTTAACATGTATAGATAATATGAACGTACACTATCTCCCAAAAGTTTAGCAAATCTTTGAATAAATTTGTCAGATAGAATGAAAAACGTTTTTATTATTTATTTTGCGTTAATTGTTTGTTTTGTTTATTCAGTAACGAGACGAGTTTATATTTAAATTTAATTTAATTTAATTTAATTTAATTTAATTTAATTTAATTTAATTTCCCCAACCAATTTTATTTTACAAACACTAATGTGATAATTATTATAATTAGGTTGAGTATTTTCTTTTATTCTTTTTTTATTTATTTATCCATGTTTTATTGTTAAAGTTGAGAAAAAGATGTTGCACCGGTAAAGAAATTTGTTCCAAGCATTGATTTATAATCAACACACACACACACACACATACACAATGAATGTTATAAATAATATTAAATAATTATGGATCGTAAAAAAAAATGTTGATATTTTTCAACTCATCGTAACAACAATCATTGTTTAAATAATAATTATTTAACGTTGATTAATCTTTTCAAAATTGATCGGTTTATTATACTTTATTTTATTACATGTCAACGAACCATTTCAAACTTTTGGCTTTTAGTGTATTTATCTATATATATATATGTGTTATACGATTGCGAATGGGGGGTGGCAATAAGCACGTGGAATTTTTCCCCCTAAGGGACACGAGTACGGGGTTACTAATGCGAAAACATCCGTCGTTTGCGGTTGCTTTTGTTCAAGGAAAAGAGAAATAACCTCTGGAGAAATGTGCAGACGGGTTTTGGGTTTCCTACTGGTTTCTCGTTCTTCGAATGAGGGTAGAAAAGAGACAGGGAGAATGAGAGAATGGGGTGGTTCGTGAAAATGGGGCCGAGACTTGGTGGGGTTGTGTCGTTCGTGAGCTCGGAAGTTCGTTTAGTGTAACTTCGTCCATCAATCAGTACACGACACATACACGAATCCACTCACACTGATCCCTTTCCCTACTCTCACCCCCTCCCTTCCATTTCTATTGAATTGTAACCGTTTTCCCTCTCTCGTATTTTTTTTTTTTTGTTTTGTTTATCTATTCGTTTTGTTATACTTGAGTCGTTGTTGAATATTTTTTATTGTATTTTTTTTATTTTTTCCTTTTGAGAATATTCAACTGTCGATTGTGATTTAATAATACGTAGGGTGGGGGGAGGTGAGGGTGTATTGTTAGAATTTTTGTTGAATTTTTATTTTTTTTTTTATTTTTTATTTCCAGGTTTGTCAATTTACATAGATACATCGATGTAATACATTTATATACATATAATATTTATTTTTTATTTCATATTTATGTACATTTATTTACACATAATATATATATATATATATATATATATATATATTTTTTTTTTGTTGAATTTTTTTTTTTATTTTTTATTTCCAGGTTTGTCAATTTACATATATATCTATATATATATATTATATATAAATCGCTGGGTATTTTATTTTTATTTTTGGTTAACATTTACAAATATAACATTGACGTTAGTATTTTCGTATTATAAATAAATAATTTTGTTTAATTAAATCGCAAGGGATAACAAAATTTGTTGCCATCACCGAGATCAATCAACGTAAAATTGAGATATTCAATTTGACGAATAAATAACAAATATAATAAATAAATGTTTGATCAAATATTGTACTAAATAAATTTAGAAGGTGGATGACGAGAAGAGTGGGTAGGGGGTGGGGGGGTGGTGGAGAGCTGAGAAAGGGCAATTAGGAAAGTTTTGAAGATCTTCTTCTTCTTCTTCTTCTTCTTCTTCGTCGAAATGGAAAGTACGTGAAACGTTTGTTGGTGTGAGAGTTCAATGCGCGTTGTGGCTTGTAGTTTTAAAACGAAACGAAACGAAATCGAAATACTTCGCCTTAAAGTTTAAACTTCTAAACCGTTGATAATCTCTTTCTTCTTCTTCTTCTTCTTCTTCTTCGAGACCAGAAGAAAAAAAAAAAAAGAAGAAAAAATAGAGAGAGAGAGAGAGAAAAAAAATACACTGACGGAGAGAGAAAAGACAAAAAAAAATGGAAGAGTGGGAAAAAATAGAAAAAACGTTGCCTCGAAGAAAGTTCATCTTAATTGTCGGAATTCCTGATTAATTATACGCTACGACCCAATCCACCCCTTCCCCTCCCCTCTCTGCTCCTCTTTCCTCCTCTTTCCTTTTCTCATACCATTTCTCCTTTTTCCCCCAACTCATTCCAACGAATGGTGCTCTGCAAGTAGTCGACAAAATTAGTCCGCGTCTCGATGGGGTTGCCAATATTTAACTTGTCTTTACAGATTAAAGAAGAAAGAAAAGAAGAAAAAAAAAAAAGGAAAAACGAAAGAGAAAGTAGAGAACATTTTTTTTTTTTATCGCGAATTTTTCCCTCTTAAAAAAGTTGATATTAATAATAATAATAATAAATAATAATAATAAAGAAAGAAAAAAATAAAAAAAT